GCTTGTTTTTTTTAAGGCGTTTTAGCCATAAGTAACTGGAAAGAATTAGGCATATAGAGTGTACCTATAAAAGGAAGAAATATTCATTTTCTCTGAAATTATATCCTCATAATTATTATGTTCTTTAAGTGAGTAACACTGGTTTCCTTCCAAGCTTTTCTACAAATAATTTTAGTTGCAGACATCCAGGCAACTGGATCTTCCATTAGTCATCTATTTTATGTGCTGTTTGTAAGAAGCTGTGTTTTGTTCTATTTTAGCAATAACAAACTTTTTTTTAACTTTAACATTTCATCCTTTTGATCATGATCATCATTTATATATAGGATTTTATGCTGTATATAGAATTTATTATAGGAGGCAAATAATTAGAAAGAGAGGCGAAATGTGTTTCCTGGTTAATTACTGTTATTAATATGAACTGATTATGGTGCAGACAATAGCGCAGCAGACACCTAAACAAAAAGTGTCTTCTTTGTTACATTTGTGAATGTAGAGATGAACACAAATGTTTCCTCAGAAGCTCTAAAAATGTGCAGTACATACCCTGTCAGGATACAATAAGACAGTTTTCACAAAAATAGATCATTAGTCACTCTTATGGATCGACTCATCATAATAGCAGAGCAAAGTTAGAATGTTGCAGGGCACAGCTGTGCTGGGAAAGTCAAATTTTATTTAACGAGCTGCACTTCTTTCGATCGTCCTTCGTGACCTTCACAAAAGTGCTTTGAATAAAGCCCAAGCTTGATGACCAGCAGCCTCCCTACGCTGTGCAATTATGCAACCTGTGATTGAGACAGGAGTTTGAGAACACAAAGAAGAGTGCCAGCCAAACAAAGGGACATCATTAACGCAGCGGGAACACTGGGGCGCTATTGACTCAGCAAGAGGGTGAAACCAGGGCAAGAGGATGAACCTGCCAGCCAAACAGATCACACGGGGAGAGGAGTGAAAGCGAAAGACAGTGTGCGTCTGTGTCCAAGAGAGACACACACAAAAAAGAACCTGGAGTGCTTTGACTCAAATATGAGAAACAAAACAACAGTTGGAGGGTAGTGAGAGCACAAAATAGAAGATGTTCGGCAAAATAAATGGCGGCGACAAAATGAAGTAAAAATGGCTAAAGAAACTGCACAGTATGCAAGCACAGTAGTACATGCAGGGGTAAGAGGTAAGGTGACGAGTACAATGCGGCTAAATGTGTCTTTGAGTTTGTGTGCGGCAAGCGAGGACCAGTCAGAGTGGGGTACAGTTATGGCTGTGACACTGCAGGGGAAAGATAAGACGCTACTGAAGTCTTACGAATTTCTGTCACGGCTGGGACTGTTACCTAAAGTAGCATGAGTCATTGAAATGCTACTTTGCACTGTGTGTGTGTGTGTGGAGCAATGAAATAAAGTGGTATGTTTGTATACAGAAGCCTGGCTTGTGGATATTTGTATGGCTGGCACTAAACCCTATGCAGATTGCTTGGCTGCAGATTCAGATCTGTAGAATTTATGGAAGAAATACAGCAGTTTAGGAAAAATTCTTCACTGTCTTGCTAAGTTATATAGTTATATATATAAAATAAACTGTGCAATACTGCATAGAGGTGACACATGCAGCCTTATTAATTAAAAGTCAAGGATGAGTTTAGAAAACAAATAGATTTATGATTTTTGGGGATGTTTTTTTGTTTAGCAGGATGTTTTAGAGCTGCTGTTAGGTCAGACATATCAGTGTGAGCTAACACAGAAGGCAGAGTGGTATCAGTCCATCATCAAACTTTCAGGGTGAAAGCAAAAATACAGTCATGTAAAAAGGAAAGTTTTCACAGCACTCTATGCTCTAACTCGCATCAAGTACATCCTTGATGCTTTTTATAAAAAATAACAGGGAACGTAGCAGCTGGGTGCTGCTAGTCGAACACACTTACCACCTCTGTAAAAGCAAAAGTTTTGGGAGTTTGCTGGTCTGAAGCATTCAGTTGTATGTTACCACAATGATACAACCTTCCCATGAGTGAACACCCCACCAAATTCAACCAAAGATCAGGCTGTGCAATGCTTAGGAAAAGTGAAAAAAACAAAACAAAAAAACAAGAGCTACAGCTCAGGTTTGTAAATGTTAATGCACATGACCGCACAAGTAAAAAAAAGAAAAGACTAGTAAGAAAAGACTAGAAAACATGTGAATATAAGAAAAAGACTGAAAAATGTGGCTTGTTAGGTAGGGTTATGGGGAGAAAGTCTTTCTAAACATCTTTCTAAAAAGAACATAAGAGCACATAAGACCAAAGTGGAGATGCTTGGTTATAATCCACAGCAGCATGCTTGGAAAAACTAAACACAGCATTAAGCAAATCAACATAAACACCTCATAGCAACTGTTAAGCACGGTGGTGGAGGCGTGATGACTCGGGCTTGTTTTATAGCCAGAGGACCCGGGCATCTTTTAGTCGCTGAGTCAACCATGAACTCCACTGCATGCCAAATCACTCTAGAGTCAAATGTCCATGCAACTGGACAATGATCCCAAGCAGAGCAGCAAGATGCCCAAAAAAGAAAAGAATCAGATTTTGAAGTGGCACAAAGTCCAGACCTCAGCCTGAGTGAGATACTGTGACAGTACCTTAAGTAAGCTGTGCATAAACAAGTGCCAGCAAACTTCAGTGAACTGAAGCAACACCGTAAAGAAGAGTGGGCCAAAATTCCTCCACAATGATGTGAAAGACTGATACAGTCATACAGAAAGCGTTTACTTGAATTTGCGACTGGCAAAGATGTTTCCACAAGTTATTGAATCATATGGCACGCTCAGTTTTTGAATGGACTGAATGTATTTTACAAAAGGTTTACTTATTCCTTTCATTTTAGGTTTTAAATTGAGTTCATTGCATGGTAAAAGATGAGGGTTCGCTCCTACAGTTCTCACTCTGATCACTGAGGAAACTATCCAAGATGGCCCAGAAAGAGCTGTGTGCTAGTCAAACTTTTCAAAAGTGACTTTCTGAGCATTGCCCAAAAAAAAACTCTGACAAAACTACATCTTATTATACCGAAAGAGAAAGATCTGTCGAATTACCATTTTTAGCATCTTAGAGCTCCAAAGGGGAAACATTTTCTGCAGTTTTATCCATTTTTTTTTTTTACTGAAATTCATTCTTTATAACACAAGATCAACAACAACATTTTGCCCTTTGAATTTTCTCTCTGGTTTGCAGGATAAAAAATGTAACATTACTATCATATGTTCCTTACCCACAGTGACAGCTGCTATGACCGGCGACACAAACACTGACATCATCACCCCACTTGCCACAGTCAAGTAGTGCTTACTTCCTGAGATATTGTTTTTCTTACAACGACCATGGACCTGAAAGGTAATACACAGAGCACAAATCACGTTACTGAAATTCAAAGCGCTCCGAGTTTTCATTTTCTATCTCTGCAGCCACTTACTCATGCCCAATAACACACACACACACACACACACACACACTGCAGCATGCCTGTGAAGACATTATAAGACACACCATGGCTCTGACAAAAAGAAAACTAATCATATCTAAGGGGATTTCATTTGCAGCTTAATTTCCCTAGGACATGTTTTTAGTTTCTAAGGTAAGGTAAGCTTTGATCTACTAGTCACATGTGAAGTGTAGGGTAAGCTGACATGTTATTGCTATAAACAGCATAAAACAATACATTAATATACAGCGCAAAGTTAACAAGTTACACAGTGTGACATGGGCTTTACTGACCTTGCGGCCCATGTAGATTGGTATCCCCACAATGATGACTGGGATGGCGATGCCCGCTATAAGGGAGATGACCACAGGTGCTCCGAGCAACATGCCCACCTGCCACAGTACCTTGCGGGTTTGAGACCATGGCTTCTTCCCCCAGAATGTACATCCTGAGGGACTGAGAGACAAAGCAGACACATCAGGAGAGATCAGTTACTGTAAAACAACAAAAGATTTGGTACAGACATTCCCTGCAGACTTGGTGATCCCTTACAGTAACTCCCTTTTGATGTGCAAAAACAAATTAAATTCCTGTCAAAATGAGCGGTACTTTATTTTAAGACTTCAAATAAATGCCCTCATAATCATTTGCTATAACCAACAAAGCATCATCATGTAGGTCTGATGTCAAATAAACCATTTTTGATATGGATTCCTTATTATAGTCCTGCTTTCATTTCCTGAAGTGCAATCGTTTACTACTTATAATTTATTCAAATACTCATTTATCATATTTAACCATTTACGTTTGAGAAATTAGTAAAACAAAGCTGCCTGGATTGGTTTATCAGCAATAGCTAGTCTCTTACTTAAAATATGACTGGCTAAAAAAGTCTATTTTGCCTTCAGTGTTACCTTAATCTGCTACCAGCCTTTGGCGCTGTGGTGTAACTTTTAACTGTCTAGAAGAGCAATACAATGTGACGAGTGCTGTCTGATTCTAATCAAGCGGAAAAATAACTTTTATAAAGAACACAAATAGCACCCAAGGGCTATGTTTTTCTCAAAGTATGCATTTAGGCCACTTTGGGGATTTTTAAAGCATGAGTGGGGGAAATTATGGTAAGAGATTATGGCTGTGTTATTCTGAACTTGCCGTGAGACGTTAAAAGCTTTGCCATTCTGTACAACATCCACTGTAATTTTTTATATGAAAGCCAGAAAAGACTGAAGGGAGAGGAGAGAACAAAGGAAGCAGGGAAAGGAGGACAAAATTAAATAAAACAAGGTAATCGGAAATAGTTGGTTTCACATGACAAAAAAACCCACTTTCATTAAATACAGTGCATATTAAGTATCCAACTACAGATTAAAAGAATTTAAATGTAGCACTTTGTCTTCCTGGAGAAAATAATTGGTTACCCTGTATACGGCTATATTAAGACAGAGTCGATAATAATATATATTTTTTTAAAGTCAGGTTAGTTTTTAATTGTATGCCTGACAATCTGATTACCACGCTTTTGTGGTTTTTAACTGTGTTAAATTATGAATAAGACACAGGTAATATTCCATATATTCCCAATAACATTGTTCAACTTATAGCTGCTATAGCAGGATGAGCATGAAGCAGCGGGTGTTAAAATATGCATTGAAATTAAGATTAATGAAGATTATTTATATAGAAACACAAACAAATAAGAGCTTGAGAAACACAGTCTTAGCTCGACTCGACATTGTGCTGATTTAGGAGTATGGAAGGAGAAACACTGGAGGTGAATAACTGATGTCAAGTCAGCAGTGACTCCCTTCCAAGAATGTGAAAACAAATGAAAGCTGAGATGAACCATTTAAACTAGCGCAGCTTCTAAATTATGAAATACGGGCATGCTTCCCTGACTGGCACGGTTTTTTATCTCTGACTAGCTACTGCATTGTTGATGCATTAGCAGTTGTGATGCACTGAAGTCGACTGTTTTTAGGATGAACTTTTGCCATTGAACATCCCCCTCAAACATTTTACAGCTACCAAAACCGATGAC